TTTTGCCCCATTGCCAGGAAAGCGGGATGGACGCGTATGTGTCCAGGAAGTGGCCAGAGTTGAACTGGACTTGAGGGAGACCCACCTCGACCTGCAGGGGCTCGTGAGGCAGCTGGGGCAGGTTCTCTGGGCTCAGGTGAGGGAGAAAGAGTGCCCGCCTTCCTTCCTTCCTTCCTTCCTTCCTTCCTTCCTTCCTTCCTTCCTTCCTCGGAGCGGGTCAGGGCAAGCCAGCGAAAAGGCCTCCTCTCCCGCCCCCACCTGCTGGCCAACCCAAGGGGCAGCCCTTTGGAGGAGGGAGGCGGCAGCCATCAAGTGGTAGGTTTCCAAACTCCCCCCTTCCATGTGGCAGGTGAAAAGGCATTTCATCCTTTTAGGACGGGCAATGCGCCAGCTCAGTGACCATCCAGGTGCCTGGTCCGACTGGGGCACCCAGGAGCTCCATGCAGCCCAGACCAGACTAGGGTGGGGGCTCAGGAGCCAGGGAGGGCCCCTCCTGGGGAACAGAGGCAGGAGTCCTGTCCCCCCCCTTCAGGTTTTCACCTGCGTGTGTCCCCGAAGATCTGTATGCCGCCACCCCCATAGCTGTTCCAGACATAGTGTAAAACGTGGCTCTGCTGCCAGGCCGGGTGCCAGGGTGGGTGGCCGGCTGGTTTTTCCTTGGTTCGGGGTACGTTTGGGCATTGTTTTACCTCCCCAGGTGGGCGTGTGTAGCACTGCTGGTCTTTTCTGGGTGCGTACTATCAGCTGCCCACAGATTTTCAGGAGTCTCCAAATCTAATTACGAGCCCAAAAAACACGCGCAAAGGGAGAGAAAACCTCGGCCCGGGCCGGCCTCGCAGTGCCCCGCAGGCTGTTCGAGGTGCCGAACCCTCCGGCTCAGCCGGCCCCTGAGCCTGGACACCCCCAGACGTTGCAAGAACTCCCACTGCAGTCCAGGGCCCCCAGGAGCTCTGCCCGGCCCCCTGGCAAGACAGCTCCCGTGAGGGCCCAAGGAGGGCTGGGGGAGGTGGGCCAGCAGGAGCCTGCACCCATGACGGGGAGCAGGAGGGCCAGAGCGAGGGGCCGTCATGCGCAAACCTCTGCTCTGCGGCAGCTCTGCTGGGTGCCGACCCCCGCGCACAGGGCCTGCTCATGCAACCGTCCAGCCTCGGAGGGGAGCGTCACCCCGAGGCAAGGACTGGGATCTGGCCGATGGCTTAGAACCCCGCAACGTTTCAGCTTCAACTGGGAGGAGATGCTCTGGGGCTCTCAGGGGGCCCAGAGCAGCTCCTGGCTGTCTGTTCCATTAAAGCAGCCTCCTTTCCCAGGGGCCTTCTGCTGCAGCTGCCTCGTCGATGTGGCCTTGAGGGCTGCCGGAGTGAACCTCTCTCTCTTTTCTCTAAAAGCTAACTGGGATCAG